AGAATTCATAAACATTAAGTCAATATCACTTAACCCATAAAGTAGTCAAAAACTAGGGTTCATAAATTACATGCATTCATAGGTTAATTGAGTTAAAATTATCTAATTAACAAAAATTCAATGAATATTAAATAATTTAAAACATTTAATGCAATAACCCATGGATAGATTTGAATTTAAAAAACTCATCTTTTGATTAACCTTTGAAAATCGCTTTGAAGATTGGCTCCTTGATGAATATAGTTTAAAGGATCAAAAATCATACCTAAATAAATCTAATCCTCCAATTTTATGAAGAATCACCACTCAAATCTCCAATCCAAGCTCTTCCTTGAGTTTTGGCTCCAATGGAGTTCTAGAGAATTCACTACAAGACAAAAGGTCAATAGGGACGAGAAATATGGTCCCAAAAGGTCTCATTCTTGTCTCTGAAGGTCATGTCCGACGACAAAAATCTGGTCACTACCCATCCAATAAGCTTCGTCGCTAAAGATCAATATGGAAGAGATGTAGGTTTCGGTCCTTAAAATTATTTTGCCACCCGGCAAATGGACTAGTCTCTAAAAGTGATTTAGGGACCATTATTCTAGTCCTTAAATGCAACAATTAATTGGCACCTTAAAATTTTACGAACTTCTGTAGTCCTTAAAAGGTCATCACGACCAAAAATCTAGTCCTTAAATAGATTTAAGGACTCACACACTTTTGGTCCCTAAAGTTGTATTTCATTTTTTTTGTATTAAAGATGATTTATGGCCAGAAAATGTGGCACATAATAATACGTAATTGTTGCTGCCATGGCCCTCTTAGATAATATATATAAGTAAATGCATCTAATAAGTTTAATTAAAAGTATTGGTTAACATTGCACAAACATACTGTTTGTAGAACTATAGTCACAAGACTATTACACAACTCATTCACCAAAAACTAACATGTCTAAGTATATAATATATTGAGTGTGTTTGGTATGAAGGAAAACATTTTCTGGAAAATGTTTTCCAATTTTCTCATGTTTGGTTGGGACAAAAGTTTTGGAAAATGTTTTCTAAATCAACTCATTTTCCTCAAAATTAATGAAAATGACTTCCCTTCAAAAATTAAGGAAAACATTTTCCAAAGCTCTTATCCAATTTCAAATTACATTTTTTGGGGGAAAAACATTAATTTTAAAAAAAAATATTTTCAATTTTTATTTTTTCACCCGATCTCTGACCACCCTCCCCCCTCCCCCCAACACCACCCTCTCCCCAAAAAATTAATTTTGCTTTTTAAAAATATTTTCAACTCCAAAATTTTATTTTTAAACTCCTACCTCCCCCCCTCCCGGCCAGCCCCCCTACCCACCCTACCAACCCCCTCACCCTCACCCCCAACCCTTCAAAAAATTAATTTTGTTTTTTAAAAATACTATCAACTTCAAAAATTTGTTTTTTCACTCCTACCCCCTCCCTCTACCCCCCCTCAACTACCCCCACCCTCTATCACCACCACCCAAAAAAATTGTTTTTAAAAAATATTTTCAATTTCATAAATTATTTTGTATTCTAGTAAAAATAAAAGATGTTCCTCAAAAATATTTTTCATTCATAAATCAAACACTAAAAATCATTTTCAAAAAATGTTTTCTACTCACCAACCAAACATGAGAAAATAAGTCCAAAATCTATTTGTTTTCCAGGAAAACATTTTCTATGGAAAACATTTTCCTTCATACCAAACACACCCTATATTCAAATGGATTCTCATGTATGTGACTCTCACGCTAGCAACTCATATACATGTATCTAGTGTGATTCACATGCATCCGAGAATGATGCATATGTATATGTGGATCTCGTTCGCCTTTTTTCCTATTTTAGTATGTTTGATAGCAAAAATATATGCATCTAGATATATTTGACTTGAAATATGATGTAAATTTATTAACTAGTGAGATAATATATAACTATTCGGAATATAAGAAGAAATTAGTAAATATAATAGGGATATTTATCTAATTAGACAGTTTTTCCTTTGAATATATTAAAGGGTAACTTTCACATATAGCAAACAAAAAATTCATATTTGTATGTTATAGCAAAGTTTGCATAATTGCGCTCTATAACAAACATAAAACTGTATAATTCGCTATACATATACAATTGTATAATTCGCTGGTCTAAATTGTATAATTCGCTGGCCTATTTCGCTGCAATTGTATAATTTGCTTTGCATACAGTTGAATCAAATTAAAATGTATGTATATTGCATAATTATAAGTGTATAACAAGAAGATGTATGTTTTTCTCGCTTTATACAAAAACAGAAACACAGTATATACACTTTTGTTGTATAAAGCTAGAGAAAATTGTATTTCATTGCAATTGTATAATTCGCAATTGTATAATTCGTTGGCCTTTTTCTCTGCAATATTTGAAGTAAAATGTTTGTAAATTGTATAATTAAGTGTATAACACGAAGATATACATTTTTTGCATGTGTATATACAATTTTCTCTCGCTTTATACAAAACAGAAACAGAATTATAC